AAGCAGTTTTAGAGCAATGGTTTTGACAGCCTCACCACCTCAGGCCTCTTTTTGGCAATACAATTTTAGTGTACATCTTAAAAGTTTTTAATCTAAGAATGATTGGTCCTTAAGGATGTCAAAGGGACAACCAAAGAACTTTATTCTGGCAATTAAAAGAAAAAAATTTATTTGTTTTAAAATCCATAAAGAAAAAATTTTGCAAGCATTTGCCTTCACCTGTTCTAATATTTAAGCTTCCTAGCTGTTTGGAAGTTCTTCTTTATATCTAACCTAAATATAAAACTCTGTTGTAGCTTAGAGTCATCTCTGAAAATCAAGGACAGTTGGTCATGATGTCAATTTCACATTAATTAATGAATCGCTGCTTAATATAAAGTCATTTTGAAGAGTTTCAAGCTGCATTGTTAGGGGGATGGATTTAAAAGTTGTTCGTGCAGATGACTGTTTTGCTCAGTTGGTTAGAGCATGGTGCTAATAAAACACTTGTTCAGTGTCTTTTTTTTTCAAGCTTTCCATGAAAAATAAATGTACCTGTATGATTGTTATCCTTCTTTACTAGTCCAATCAAATTAAAGATGATATTCAACCTAGCTGCCTTCGTACTCTCAGAAGTGGTTTTTCTTAGATGGAACCACCAGTTTCTTTCTTTATTCTTTTTTTTTTCTCTTTTAAAGACAGGGTCTCCCTTTGTTGCCCAGGCTGGAGTGCTGTGGTGAGATCATAGCTTACTATAACTTTGAACTCTTGGGCTTAAGCAGTCCTCCTGCCTCAGCTTCCTGAGCAGCTAGGACTACAGGCATGTGCCACCGCATCTAGCTAATTTTTAAATTTTTTATAGAGACAGGATCTGGCCATGTTGCCAAAACTGGTTTTGAACTCCTGGGCTCAAGTAATCCTCCTGTCTTAGCCTCCCAAAGTGCTGGAATTACAGATGTGAGCCACCTCACGCTGCCTTGACCAGCAGTTTCTTTAGGCTTGTGTGTCATTAGAATGCTGAACTAATCACATCCAAGAGGAGGGAAGAAAGAGAAAATCAGAGGAGAGGTAAAGAGGCAGGCTATCAGTGGAAGAAAGAAGAGGTGAAGAGCAAGGAAAGATGGAATAAGAAGTGGGGGGTGAGGGAAGTAGACAACAGTTGACAGTGCTGGAGTGTCTCCAGGTTATCTCCGCTGCCACTTACCAAGTCCATCTGGACTAGCTAGCAAGACCACTGGAGAATGGGAGAGAAAAGGACTTTAGCGCCTTCTTGGTCTCTTGCTGCTGTGTTGCCTCATATTTTGATTGGGGCTTATCATACACTGTGCTAATCCACATTTGAAGCAGTATGTGGGTCATTGTTTACCTACCAGGACCCTGGCAGAAAATTACCAGGGATTTCAAAGCAGCAGAAACCAATGAACCTAGTTGTTAGACTCCGTAGTTGAGCAAGTTTACTGAAACCAAATAAAGGAATACACCTTGTCTGTCTGGTGAAGTGCCTCTCAAATTTTTCAGCCCAAGTTACCTGTGACTGTAGAGGGGATGTGAAATGGGTCACCCATGGTACTAGTGAAATATGATTCTGAGGTTCCTTTGAAGTCTCTTTATTTTGCAGATCTGTGCAAATTTTACATTGTGTTCCATAATAGGTCTGTGTTTCTTTTAACAGTAAAACAATACCCCATCCCCACCCACATATACAAAAATCTTTGAGGCTCAGGGAGATGCACGCTGTGCTTATCTGGTGGCTTCAAGAATACCCCTCCCAACACCCCCCCCTCCACAAACTCTAACACATTTTACCTGGGGTGGGCATTCCTAGTAGTGATGTGAAAGAACAAGCCTAACATGTAGCTTTTGATGATCTAGGCTAAATTGGTGACGGCACCTTGGACCTTTTGCTGAATTTAAAAGGTGGCTTTATAAATTGTTAGCCATTGATGACATGAATCCGTCTCAGCAACACTCTGCACAATTCTAATAGAGAACCATATGAGCAGAGACTTGGGGTGTCACATCTAGAGCTTTTCAGGCCATGGTAGGCCCTGTAAAACCATCTCATTAATGTTCACATTTCTCTCAGCTGATTAGGTCAGATCTCCCTCTTCTCCCAAGACACGTAAATGCAATATTCTCTTCCTCCCAATGGTACCCTGCTCAAGTAAGTTGTGAGGTTGCTTGGAAATTTTAAATAACTCATGTGAAGTATTCAACACAGTTCCTTACAAGTAGTAAGCAATGAATAAACGTCAGCTGCTATTTTATTTTTGCAAGTGTCATTGCAATGTGTGCCTACTGTGAACAAAGCAGCATTCATACCTGGAAAGTGAAGCTTGTTGGTGGCACATTCAGAACAGATGGCTGATCAATAAGTTTGGATCTTGAGTTGTGAACAGGTAAAACCGTTACAAAACTAAGAAATATATACTACTTGCTATATGAGTAAAGAAAATGGAAAAACTGAAATTGTTGAGCAAAGTGATAGGAAAAAATAAAACTATGCTAGTAGGAAAACTGATTTTAGCTTCACATTATTTAACAGTGTGGCCAAAGCGTCGGGTTCTGTAGAGGAATGGTGCCTAGTTTGTGTTGCATCCTGTGTGTTGGTTGAATGAATGTGATAGGTTGAGACCTTATTATGGAGTTCTAATTACGTATACATGCCTGGTTAAGCAAGACATTTGGATGTTATTTAATGGTCAGTGAGAAGCCATTTAAGAACTTCAAAAAGGGAAATGATATGATCCATTGTCTGCTTTAGACTGTTAAGGAAATGTACAGATGGTTATATTTGATGACAGAACTATGGTAATTTTATTTTTCCAAAATTTCTAAGAACACACACCCTTTCTAAAATTTCTAAGAGCACACTTCTGAAGGTGATGGTGGCTCCCTTTGGGGCTGCCAGGGGGTAGGGTGGGGGGTGGGGGATGAGAGTGAGGGCAGCATTTTGAATCTGGTGGGGGTGGCATATGTACTTGAAAGAGAGCCCCTGGGGAGTTGTCCTTCGTGAGACATTTTAGGGCATCCCTGAGTATCGAAATCATAGTATTTAGAGCTCAGTTTAACCTAGAGACCCCTAGATCTAACCCTCATGTTATAGATGAGATCAAGTGAATTCCTTAAGACTCAACCCAGGCCTCCTGTTCTTTCTAATATATAAAACATTAAATTTGTAGAGAAAATTGTGTAGGTGAACAGAAGGGAGGATTAGTTCGAATAGCTTTGTCTGCTCCAAGGTAGCTTTTCCAACAAGCCTGAATGTTTTCACATTATCTTACCATACTTTTTAGAATTGTGCCACTTAGATATTCGTGTAGGTTAATAAGCATAAAAATCCCACCACCCCAGAGGCAAATGACTAAAATACCTCCTCATATTTTCTCCTCAGTGTTTTTTCTAAATACATACTTTTAAAATTAGAATTCTATTGTTTTATAGCTTTTTAAAAAATGTAATATACAGACATTTCCTCATATAATTAAATCTTATATGAAGACATTATTTAAAGTTATGAAGTAGTAGCCCATCATATAGCTTTGCCACAACCATGTATAATTAAGCCTCTATTGTTTGGTAGGTAGGTCTCAACTTTTCAAATAAGCAACTATTGTATAAATGCAAGTGGTTCTAGGAAGATTAGAAGACTTTCAGTCATTCACACAATAGTTTGAATTAGTTAACATCTGGTTTCTTTTTACCACCTAGCTAAGAGCAGCTAGTTGGAGAATAGAATTTGTGATCTTGCATGAAGCACTTCAGGTAGAGGATGGGCTGGGGAAGGGCTAGTTGTGAAGGGGTGGACGTCTACAATAAGGCTGTTTGAAACCCAGATGAAAGGATGTAGAAGACTGCTGAAATGGAGTCATTTCAGTATTTTGCATAGGAATGATTTTTGTTTTTTCCTTTTTCTGGTCCACATGACCTTTGCTTCAACACTTAAAACTCAAGCTGTTTTGTGAGTTTGGTAGTTCTCCCACATAGGAGATTAAGCATTGGTTAAAAGGCTGGGCACCTGAGTACCACTTTCACCTATTACTTTCCGCGTTCTAACCTAATTACTTAAAATTTCTGAACATTATTGTTATGAGTTGTGGGCTAACTATAATAAAATAGTTTTTTTTTTTTTCAGTCAAGTAGAAATGAGAGGGTAGATATTGTTAAGGCTTAGTGACTTATTGGATGCTATTAGGAAAGGACAGGAAGACTTCAAACATGACTTAAGAGCTAAAAGCCTCAAAAAATGGTGAAATGAGTTGTTGCTGATTTGTGCAGGAACTTGAAAAATGATACCTGAAAAGCCATATTACATTTCTGGAACTCGTGCTGGCGAGAGAGATAGGAATAACACAGATAAAATTGTGATATTCTAAAAGCCCTTAGCCAATAGTTTCAGTTGTGCCTTATAACAATGTATCTGTCTATACTTATAAAAAACAATATGGGTTGATTTGCATTTCACTTGAACCTTCTTTAGTTGAAAACAATTGATTACATAGGAAAGGGAAAATGTTACTATGAATTAGGTCTCTTGTTCTGCTACTATATGACGTTGGGCAGGACATTTCACCTCTCTGGTTTCTAACCTATACATAAAAGGATAATTAGTGTTGGTTTAGATAATTTTTGAAGTTCTTTCTGAACCTGAAGAGTCTTTATTTCTAAAACAAAAAATGATCTCTGAGGTAGAACTGGCTATACTTTTTCAAATTTAAAAAATTAAGCAAAATGCTGATCTAGTAAGTTCATGTAACTTTTAAGTAAAGCATCTTGAAGGTGTCCCTCTATCAACTAAAGAACAAATGTCTCAGTTTAATATATGACTGCGTCAAAAAAAAAAAAAATGCAACCACAGTAGGTGACCAAAGGGATAAGTAACTTTCAGGAATTTTGAAAGCCCAGTAGTATTTCGTATGTGCTCTCTCAGCATTAAAAAGGTCACCTTGTTAATACATGTTAATTTTGAAAGTTTAATTGACCTTTGGAATTTTAATATCAACCTTTTTTGGTGTGTTTAGAGGTTGGAGCAATCACAGAAGAAACTGAAGCCTGTGATTGGTGGAGTTTGGGTGCTGTCCTCTTTGAACTTCTCACTGGCAAGGTGAGCAGTGACCTGTGCGTTTCACAAATTTACACAGATGCTACCTTGATTTCCAATTGAGAACGTTAGCGTTTGCCTTTAGTTTTTAGGTCAGGGACTAAGTAAGAAAAGCTTTAATACCAAAAACAAGCAAAGACATGCAAGTTTTATCAAGAGGATTTTTTTAAACACTGAATAAATTGATGGTAAAATCCTTTATGTCACAATGTTACATGTGAGACGATAAGATGAAACCTTTTTTTCTCTTCATTATCTATGATTCAGCTTAACAGAGTCAAATCTGTAAGGTTTAAGATTTTTTAATGTAAGGATATCTTAGAATTCTCCAGATGTTTTAAACATCGTGTCTGAAACTGGTATGGAATTCTCATTTAAGAAAATTAACGTACATATTAAAGATAATGTTATCTTTTTTCTCAATACTGCTGATTTTTCCTGTCTGTTCTGGCTTAAGAACAAAAATTATACTCTCAGATCAATAACTTTTGAGTATGATGTTTGAGGTTAATAGGCTTTATATTAATAAAGTATTGTGCAGATTGCCTCCTGGGAAGAAAACAGAGGAAATGAGCAGTTATACTTTTGTAAGTAGTCATCTACCTTAAATATGCAGATAATACCCATCAAAGATTGTTGTGGAGTTTAAAAATCTCCTTTGCATACATTTAAACTTATAAAGTGTTCTACATATATGTAAAGTTATACTACTCCCAAATTCTAAACTTTGAGGGTTTTTAAGAACATTAAAACATTTTAGAGATATCAAGTCCCTTTTTTGTTTTTGTGTATAATTTAGCTTTTCTATTTTGAATCGTTCATTTTGTAATTAAGGGAAAAGGGACAGTAGCATAAGCTTATGATGTGATCACAATAATTGTCTGTCTTCATTTTAGTTAGAAATTCTGTAGGCTCATAGCCCCCATTCTAGACTGCTCAGGTGGCACTGTGTTAATTATTATACTTCCAATTAAGATGGTTGTTGAGCTCTTTGTACTTGCTGTCCATAAATCCTGCGATAGGACAAAATATGATGTTATTTGGGATAAGAAGTGTACCTGATTGATTGTTTCAGACTCTGGTTGAGTGCCATCCAGCAGGAATAAATACTCACACTACTTTGAACATGCCAGAATGTGTCTCTGAAGAGGCTCGCTCACTCATTCAACAGGTAATTTAATTGACCTATTGGCCAAGTATATCAGCCATGCAGATTAGCAGGGCCTACAGTTCCACAACCTTAAAGAAATGAGTTTTAGTCAAGAAAAACCCACTTAACCTAAAACAAGACACATTCAGAATTAATACTGTACATTTTTAGGCTTTTGCTATTATCAAAGGATTGGTGGGGTCAGAGAAGATAGATAAAACTTGTTGGTATTAACATTTTTTTTCCAAGAGTCAAAATTAACATTTAGTCAGTTTTGTATATTTATTTGCATAGGTGTGGTATTTGAGTACTGCTTTTTACTTGTCTGGGGCTGCTCTTTTTGCTATTATATTTTGTAACTGTAGATGAATGGCTATTTTCAGTGTTTAATTCTTATTTATAAACAGCAATGGGCTACTCAGATTGTTTAGAAGAAAAGTGTTGTTAGAAAACTTTGTCACTCCTAGATCACTCTTACAACTTCATCCATTGGTAGGACTTGGGTTTTGTCAAATAGCACATTTTGGTGGCATTGAAGAAGACGACCATGGATAATTGAAGTTCAATATCCCACGGGCAAGTTTGAAACTCTAGTCTTAAATTGATTCTCCATATTTAAAATACTCCTCATTTTGAGTTTTTGCTAAGTACGCTGAGGGTTGTTAGTCTTGTTTTATTATAGGCCCACAGCAAATCAGCAAGAACTGTCAGGCCTGGGATCGTTACACTTTTATGAAAAGCATAATGGAAAAGATTATTTGAAAAAGATGATTAAGAGCTAAATATAAGACACAGTGGTATAAGCTACAAAAGTAAGATTCACAAATAACCATGCTACAAGATGGAATTTGATAATGGTTGTCAAAGAGGTTTTAAAAAGAATACTTTGGCAAGTCCAGAGAAGGAGGGTTTATAGTTAATGTAGTGGTAGTGTTAGGAAAGTTTTTGTGGAATGAGTGTTATTTTTTCTGGACCCTAGAATTTCACCATGGCAAGGTTGGATGTAGGGTGATGGTCCAGGTAAAAATGAAGAGCTTGAACAAAGGCAAGGAAAGAGTCTGAAAGATCTAGTTCAGGAAATCAAAAGTCTGATTTATCTGAATGGAAGAATGAAGATAGAGATGAGTCATAGCAGTAGGTGAGTGTAGAAAGATAAGTTGGGGTTCTCTTATGGGATTGCATCATCAGAAGCACCAGAGTAGAGTAATAGTATTTAATTAATTAAAAATTTGAGATTTGATATTTTTGTGCAGAAGAGGGGAAGGATCAGAGTTGCACTTCAGGAAGATTAATTTTCCCAGAGTATGTAAAATATGAAGAAAGATAATCAGGTTGGAAATGCTGAGATGAGAATGCCCAGAGCCCTGTGGATTAAGGATTAAGAGGCAATGAAGAGATATATAAAGCATTTCATTCTAATAGGAAAAAAGGAACAGCAATTCATTTGATTTCATCTTATTTGTTGTAGCATAAGGTAAATTCAAAGTATTTTTTGGCAAATAATTTAGAGAAGATTAGCAACTGCTATTTTTTACTTCTCTTCCTTAAAGAAGTAGTCATTATTATGTAACATTGAAAATAGAATTCCCCACAATAATTTATCAAGTTCTGCTCGTCTCTTTATTAGAAATTATGTCGTAAAGGAGTCTGGGCTTATGGTATGTTAAGTCCCCAAGTGCAGATATGTATAGCTTATATAGGAAATCAGCATTCTGTCATTGGCCCGCCTAAGGAAACGACCACTCATGTTGAGGAAACATCATCAGGAAAGGGAAAAGGGGTCTCTTGGCATGATTAGCAATTTGTCATTTTGACTTTCCTCTTCCACTACCTCACAGGTCATAGAGGTCACTTGAAAAAAATCACAAAATGATTTATATGAAAATAATTATTCTGCTCGGGGGAAGTATTCTCCTCTTTGGTCTTTTCAGCTTCTTGCTTTGTTCTCAGATTTCATAATCCCCTGTACCCGTGGTTCAGTCATCTGTTGGAGTCAAGTGCATGATGTTAAAGTAAACATAGCTACTTCTTAAGTGCAATTTGAAAAAAAATCCTCAGAGCAGGCATGTTTATGCCTTAGAGTGTACATTTAGTTATTAATAATTATGACACAGTTGCTTTGTCAGTTGAAAGATATTATGTGAGGAAAAGACCTTCAAAACAAATTTCTGTGCCCTTAGTGCTCAGCTCTGTTGCTTATTCTTTAGGAGAAAGGAGGTTGGCAGTGGCTGTCTTGGGTTCATTATCTTGAATGTGCCACTGGCTGACACATTCTCTTAAGCAATAGTATCTTTGTGCAATCTCTCTTGAGGCCTGCTATAACATTGAAAATGGAAGAATAAGCAAGATAGTCATGTGTAAAACAATTATACTTTTGCCCTGTAGACTTGTACTTGCAAATATGTGAAGGAGACTATGGACTAAACTGTCTTTAGGAAAAGTCAAAATATGAACCTTTGGAATTTCCCATTTGAAGTCATGTTTTAGAAAGAATGGGGGTGGGAAAGCCAACCGTAACAAAGAAGAAATAACTTATATATGTTTATGTTTTCTGATATATTAAAATAATGCTGTAGTTACAGTTAATTCTTACCAATATTTGATATGTTCAGTTTATATTAAAATGGAATTTGATAAAGGCTGATGCCTTCTGCATTTCGATCAATAGACACGAATTCTCTGTGAAAATGGGTTTAACACATTTAGAATATTCCTATGATGTTTGTTTTATACTAACAGCTTTTCTCCTAAAACATTAGAGCAACTTCTAATATAAAAATTCTTTGAGCAGTTAGCTTTAATGAACAGTAGTTTGGTCATTTTGAGTGCTAGGCATAATAATGTCAAGTGAGAAGACTATACTGTCAGTATAGTCTTTTGAGGTATGTGCTTCACTCCCATTATGGATTTTGTAATGTCCAAGTGAAGTAATAGACTCCTGGCAATTTGCAGATACACATTGATGGAGCATTGTAGTGTTGTGGTTAAGGTATGGATTCCAGAGTCAAAGTGCCTGAATTCAAATCCTATCTTTGCTACTTAACTGTCTGTAAGGTCTTAAGTTACTCAATTTCCCTCAGCCTCTGTTTTCTCATCTATAAAACGGAGATAGTAATAGTAGCTATTTGTATAGTTATTGTGAATTAAATGAATTAACTTACGTTAAGCACTTAGAATAATGCCTGGTGCACAGTAAAGTGTCATGTAAATCTTTTTTATTATTATTGATAGGACAGTGTTGAAAGTTCATGACATACAGTAATTTATAATTCAGTGAAGCATGTATTTGAATTATGGGGCTGCTAGTGTAAGAGTGAGGCAACTGCTGATGGTACAGGTGAAAAGGTACAGGAAAAAAGTAGTGGACTGACACATCACAGGCAATCAGCTGATATCTATATAAATAATTAAATTAATGAAGCATGAATGAAAAAGAATAGAGAAAAAGGAAGAGAAGAAATAGAAGTTTGGGTTACATTTGAATAGTGGAATTTCTTATATATAGGACCGTTAATATTGTAAAGAAATCTTTTAAATCAGTTTTTGTTATGTTCTCTGGAAAAAATTATTTGCTGTAGTAGTATTCTCAAATTTGAATGGCTGTGGCTACATGAGAAAGTTGGCAAATTCTTACATCTGAAAAAGTATAAAGTTGAACAGAATTGGTAAAAACAATTATTTCAGTGCTCTGGAAATTGATCAAAGGAAACAACAATCTGAAAGTATTTATGCTTGCTAAACATCTGAACTTTGGGAAAGTACAGTGGGACTCTGTGGCATTCTTGACCAGGTTTGCTCCCATTTCCACCTTCCTGCTTGGTCAGCTGCAAAGATTCTGCCAGGGTGGGGCAGGCCTTGAAGAGCAATCCTGAGGCTACATAAATGCACACAGGAACAGGGAAAGAGCCCAGCAGAAAGTGGCCTAAACTTTGTGTGCTACCCATTAGCAGAGGACAGAAGCTTTTGAATGGCCGAGGTATTTGAACACAACCTCTGTTCACTCATTGCTTGACTAAGCTATGCAAATGCAGGGGTGACACTGAGAAAGGCAACCTTAAAAATGAAAAAACAAAAAAGCAAGCCAAGATATCAGCTGCTGCACATTATCAGAGGGGAGGGGGATTAGCAGATTTACAGAACTAGCTGAAGGAAGTTACCAAACAAAGAATAAACAAACCAACAGCAATGATAATCTTCATGGGGAAAAAAATCAGTCCCCAGAGTTGCTAAAATACTAATATATTAACTAAAATATGCTTATTTTAGTGAAATATAATGCAGGACATACACAAAAACAAAAAATTATGACCCATGTGTAGAAAGAAAAGCAGTCAATAAAAATGGTCCCTTGAGTGTATCCAGATTTGGGGTTTAACAAAGACTTCAAAGCAGCTATTATAAGTACTTTTCAAAGAACTAAAACTATGTTTAAAGAATTAATGGAAAGTACGACAACAATGAATCAACAAATATAGATTCTCAATGAGATAGAAATTACATTTTAAAAAAAAGAACCAAGTAAAAGTCTCAAGTTTAAAAATATAATATGAATGAAAAATTCACTAGAGAAAAAAATCACTAAAACAGCTGAACAGCAAATTTGAGATATTTAATAGAAAAAGAATCAAAGAACTTGAAGAACTTTCAGTTATCTAATCTGAAAAACAGACCAAAAAGTTGAAGAAAAATCTGTAGGGCCACAGAGATCTGTGAGACAATATTGTGTGTGTGTGTCTGTGTATAGTTCCAGAAGGAGAGGAAAAAGAAAAAGGGGCAGCAAAAATACTTGGACAAATTCTGACTGAAAGCTCCCCAAATTTGCTGAAAAACATTAATTTACACATCTAAAAAGCTCAACAGACCCAAAGTAGGAAAATACAAAGAGATCCAGACTTAGTCAAATTATCCAAAGATAAAAACAAAAAGGAACGTTTTGAAAGCAGTAAAAGAAAAACAACTCTTCTTATAGAATGAAGCGTTAATGTCCTTCACAAAAACAGTGGAGGACAGAAGACAGTGGAATGGCATATTCAAAGTGCTGAAAGGAAGTAACAGTCCACCAAGAATTCAGCAAAATTAGCCTTCAAAAACCAAGGTGAAATAAAGACATTCCCAGATAAAGACTGAGAGAATTCATTGCTAGAAGATCTACCTTACAAGAAGCACTACAGGAATTCCTTCAGGCTGAAAGGAAATGATGCCAGATGAGTCCAAAGACCACTGGAAATGGTAGATAGGAGTTAATAGAAAAGACTATATCTTTTCTCATTTCTCTTCTCAACTTTAAAAAAAAAGACATAAAATTGTATGTAGTAATAATTATAAGACCATGCTGTCAGGTGTGTAACATATATAGATATAATATGTACATGTAATATGACAATAATGGACAAAGGAAGGGACTATGGTGGAGCAAAATTTTTACCTTTTGCTGCAATTAAGGTAGTATTCTGAAACAGATAAGTGATAAGTTATGAGTGATATATTCTGAAGTGATAAATGATACATTCTGAAGTAATTAAGTTAAAATGCCTATTTTAAGGATACAGCAACCAGTTTTAAAAAAAACCCTTAAAAACAAAATCGTAAAAGAAAGTTAAGTAGAGGAGCTAAAATGGTACAATAAAAAGCATTTAACACAAAATAAGGCAGTAAAGGAGGAACAAAAAAGGCAGATTAGAAAACAAGTAGCAAAATGGCCAACATAAAGCTACCACATAAATAATTATGTTCAGAGTGAATGTCTAAACACACCAAACAAAAGGCAGATATTGTTAAACTGGATTTAAAAGATTCTACTATATTCTGTGTACAAGAGACACACCTTAAATTCAAAAACACGAAGAGGTTGAAAGAAAAAGGATTGAAAAGATAAACCACGCAAACAGTAACCATTGAGAGAGCTGGAGTGGCTATATTAAACACCAGATAAAATGGACATTAAGACAGACTTACTAGAGACTGATAAATGTTTCATAATGATAGTCAATACATAGGAAGCTTGAACAATTATAAATGTCTATGCATTAATAATAATATGAAATAAGATCTGACTGAATTGAAAGGAAAAATAGGCAAGTCAGTAATAATAAATGGAGGCTTCAATGCCCTGTTTTTGATAATTAACAGAAAATTAGCAAGGATAGAAGACTCAGACATTATTAAACAGTTCTAACCAACATATATAGAACACTTCACCCAGTGACTACAGAATACACATTCGTATCAAGTACACATGAAACAGTCTCCTAGATAGATCATATTCTAGGACATAAAACAAGTTTCAATGTTTAAAAGGATTGGGGGCCGGGCACGGTGGTTCAAGCCTATAATCTCAGCAGTTTGGGAGGCCAAGGTGCAAGGCCTGCTTGAGGCCAGCCTAGGCAACTTAGCAAGACCTGGTCTCTACAAAAATGTAAAAATTAACTAGGCATGATTGCATGCACCTGTAGTCTTAGCTACTTGGGAGGCTGAGCTAGGAGGATCATTGGATCCCAGGAGTTGGTGACTTCAGTGAGCTATGATTGTGCTACTACACTCACAAGATTGAAATGATACAATGTACTCTGACCATAACAATTAAATTAGAAATCAGTAACAGAAAGGGATCTGCTAAATCCACAAATAATTGGAAATTAAGCAATACACTTCTAAGTAACACATGTCAAAGAAGAAATCCCAAGAAAACCTAGAAAATGTTTTTGAACTGAATGAAAACGAAAACACAATATATCAAAATTTGTAGTATGTAGCTAAATCTGTTCCAGAGGAAAATTTATAATGTTATACACCAGATTAGAAAAAAAAAAAAAAGAAAGCTCTCCAATCAAAATTTAAACTTCCACCTTAAGAAACTATGAAAGGAAGCTGGGCGTGGTGGCATATTCCTATAGTCTCGGCTACTAGGGAAGCTGAGATGGGAGGATCTCTTGAGCCCAGGATTTCAAGGCCAGCCCAGACAACATAGTGAGAACCCTGTCTTGGAAGGGAAGAAAGTTAGAAAAATAAGAGAAAAATCAAAGAAATCACAAGTTGGTTCTTTGAGACATTCAGCAAAATTGGGAAACCTTTAGCTGACTCAAAATTGTACCTGAAAAGGCAAAGAACCTAGAATATCCAAAACAGTTTTGAAAGAGAAGAATAAAGTTGGAAAACTTAACACTACCTGATTTCGACACTATAAAGCCACGATAATTAAGACAACAGCGTGTTTTTAACAAATGGTGCTGGAAAATCAAATACTTATATGCTAAAAACAAAATGAACTCAGACCCTTCATACATATGCAAAAAATGAACTCAAAGTAGCTCATAGACCTATGTATAAGAGCTAAAACTATAAGAATTTTAGAAGAAAACATAGGAAAAATCTTCATGATGGTTGGGTTAGGCAAATAGTTATTAGATAGGACACCAAAAGCATGGTGATAAATTGATAAAGGAGGCTTCATTAAAATTAAAAACTTGCATACTTCAAAAGACACCTTTAAGAAAGTGAAGACAAATCACAGACTGGAAGAAAATATCTGCAAATCATGTATCTGATAAAGGACTTGCATTCAGAAGGTACAAAGAACTCGTGTAACTCAGTAAGACAGGCAACTCAGTTTTAAAATGGGCCAAGGTTTTCTGGTTTATCCACAGCAAAAGAAAACATTTTTTTTTAAATGGACAAAAGATAAGATACTTCACCAAGAGCTATAGGGCTGGTTAATAAGGACACAAAAAGATGCTCAACATCATTAGTTGTTAGGGAATGTATTATATGTGACCCAGCAGTTCTACTTCTAGTAATGTAATCAAGAGAAATGAAAACATATGTCTACCCAAAGGCATATACATGAATGTTAATAGCAACATTATTCATTACAGCCAAAAACTGCAAAGTCCAAATGTTATCAAACTGAATGGATTAACAAGATGTGGTATATCCAAACAGTGGAATACTATTCAGAAATAAAAAGCAACGCACTGTTGATACCTACTACAACGTAGGATGAACCTCAAAAACATTATGCTGAGTGAAAGAAGGCAACTGCGAAAGACTATTTTATGATTCCATTTATATTAAATGTCCAAGAAGGGCAACTTTATAGAGACAGAAAGGAGAGCAGTGGTTGCCTCGGGCTGGGAATGGGAGTGGGATAATTGCAGATGACATGAGGAAACTTTTTAGGGTGATCAGTGTGTTCTAAAACTGAATTGTGATGATTGCACAATTCTTTAAATTTATAACAATCATCGAATCTATACTTACCATAGATGAAGCTTATGCTAAATTCTTCAGTCAAGCTATTAAAAATTTGAAGATGCATGAATGTCTCAAGGCATCTTCTTCCAGCATGTTCAGAGTCCCTATGTAATTGTATATAACAATTTCTATTTTCCCACACTGTTAACAATCCTGTTGCATATGACATTATAAATTTATTTTACACAGAATTCTACTTTTGAAGAAATTCAAACATTTTATTTATTAGATCAAATTATTTCAGTTGAGTCAACTATGCCAAAGAAAGTAATTTGGGAATACTAATTAGCCTGTTCACACTTTAGGTAAGGTTTAGCCTTAGTGCATATATAGTTCTTTTGGAATTGAAAGACTTATGCCTCCCTAACTTCCTAATTACAAAAGAAGTAACTGGCTCTCAGCATTTAGTGCAATGTCTAACTAATATTTGGTGTACTTTTCGAGTAGGAAACTGATATGGTGTAGCTATCCTCTTATGCTATATAAGGATGAAGCAAACGAAGTGAGTTATTCAAAGCTGTGTTTCATGTCAGATGAAAAGGCATAAACTCAGTTCAGATATTCCTGACCACGTCACAGCTTAGAATGGTTTTAGATATAGCTCCCTTTCAAGAAAACATAGACAGTTGGCTGTTAATCAAGTCCATTTGTCACTGTGGGTTGAATTTAGAAGTTCTTCCCTTTCATATATTTTGTTTTCCTTTTGATTTGCCAGTTGGATTCCTGTTACTAACTAAGTCCTTCTTTTTTAGCTCTTGCAGTTCAACCCTCTGGAACGGCTTGGTGCTGGAGTTGCTGGTGTTGAAGATATTAAATCTCATCCATTTTTTACCCCTGTGGATTGGGCAGAACTGATGAGATGAATACAATTCAGGGTTATCTTCACATATTCTGATCTCCCCTGGGACAGGCATCTCCAGTGCAGAGGCCGCTCTGCCTCGTGGTCACTTGTGGAGCACCAGAGCATTTGGATGAAGACCCTTGTGGGAACTAGGGGGCAGAGGAAGGCTACAGAGAACAATTAATTTACAGTTACTGTCTGGACAAGATATTAGCTAATTTTGCCAGAGGCCATTATATATACACCTCTAATCAAGGTGTGATCTTAATTTAATCTACAGAGTTCCTTCAAGAAATTCCTCTGATACTAAGTTCTATGAAGTTTTACTTGAAAGAAGGACCTTTATGTGGCAGCTAACAGTGCTTTCTGCTAACCAGGATTGGTTTATATGATCAAATTAATGTTTGCTTAATAGTACACTAAAAATACTTTGCAAATAATGTCATCTTTGAGGCTTTAAAGTGAGAAAAAAAAGAAAATACACATGATGTCTGCTGGAAGATGCTATATGCTGTGTAATTAATGTATCTAGAATGTGGTACCAGATGATTTCCATGAGAAGAAAGGACTCCATGTTGTCAACTCTGTACTTTGTTGGTTGAAACTGCTTATTTAGAGGGGGGTTCATATAAACAGTCTGTGTGTCTCTTCAACTTCATCTTTCCCTCCATCTTTCCCTTTCCTGTACTCTTTGCTTATTCTCTCATACTCTGTTCTTCCTACTCCTGCTGACACACATGCAACAAAAAAGGGAAGGGAATATATGTTTCCCCAAATTGTATCATCTTAACAAGGACTAAGAAATCATGATATAAAATAAACATGGTAAAACTTTAGATCTCTCCTTCATTTGATAGCTTGAGATTCATTCATTCATTCATTTAGAAAGGCCTGTGTTCTTTTCCTTTTGGAATGCCATCAGTTTCTGCTGCTGCTGCTTATGCTTATGCTTGACTTCATTTTACTTTTTAGCTTGGTATGTTAAGAACCAAAGGATCTCATCTAACTGAAATTGAGTGGCAATCCTAGTTTATTGTGTATATTGATGAGATTTCCAGATTTGAACTCCTAATCTACTTGACATTATGTAGAAAAAATATGAGTGTTCACACATGTCCAGATACTTTATTTGCTATTTCTTTATGTTGCTAAGATAGCTCCCGTAGTTATGCATTGTTTACAAAAATTTGTAAATGTTTTAAAGGTGTTAACATCTGGTTTTTTTTTAAACTTTACCCAAAGAAGAAAGAAGTCACTATTTCCAAGTTAAAAGCCACCAGAAATAATCAAAATTTTCTGACTGTTTTTATTCGTCTTTTTATTTTTGAGATCTGTGTGAAAGCCCACCCCTACTCCAGGAGCATCTGTATAGCTTCCATCTGCCGTCAACCAGGTCCTCCCATCAAATTGGATGGAAGCAGAAAATGTTCTTCTGAAAGAAAGGAAATGTGCAAGCATTTTTCATTTTTCTGTTATTCTCCCCTTTTTCCTTTTTGGTCCCCTTATAACCCACACCCCAGCTGAAAGGGCTGTAACAACACCAGGTTGGGAAGCAGGTCACCAGGATCATAGTTCAATCAAGATGACATCACTCCCTGGAACTAGATTTCAACTCACCAGTCTCCTGGCCTCATAACAGGAACTCATGCAGGTGAGACACAGGATGACTTCCTGCGTAGGACTAGTGGGAAATCCGCAAGTACTTAGAGCTGGCCGTTACAGAACTTCCTTCCAGAAGTGCCCTATGACATGAAAGTAGGACTTCACAACTAAGGTGAAGATCCCTGCCCTACCACATGATTTGGGGCTTTTGGATTCAAAAGACGTTAATGTCAACAGATGGTTGCTAGGTTAGTCTGTTGATACAGTTCCATTGCTTCAGTGTCTCCCTCTTTCTGTACATTTGATTGGAGCTTGTGCTGTTAATGTAAATGCATCATTCATAATCATGATGGTCATGGACCATTTTAGTAATAAACACACAGGATAAATGGCTTTGGGGTATCAAAACCAAAGTTGTTTCTATTTGATGATGTATACATATTTTACGCTCTAATACTGTAATACTGATTTTTGTTTTTTATATTTTATTTAAGCAGGGGAGTGGGATACAGGTCAGAATCATAAAAGAAATTGCCACTTAGTATTTCTCATTTTTTTTATTGTAAAACATACATAAAATTCACGATTGAATTATTTTTAAGTATACAGTTCAGTGGTGACATTACGTATATTCATATTTTTGTGCAATCACCACCACTATCCATCTCCAGAACATTTTCATCATCTCAACCTAAAACTCTGTGCCCATTAAACAATAACTTCCCATGCCCCCTCCCCACCTCCTCGTAACCACTATTCTACTTTCTGTCTCTTATGAATTTGAATTTGACTGTTTTAGATATTTCATATAAGTAGAATCATATAATATTTGTTCTTTTGTGTATGGCTTATTTCACTTAACATTAAGTTTTCAGGGTTTATCCATGCTGTAGCATGTATAAGAATTTCCTTCCTTTTTAAGGCTGAATAATATTCCATGTGTGTATATACCACATTTTGTTTAGCCATTCATTTGTCAATGGACAATTGGATTGTTTCTACCTCTTGGCTGTTGAGAATAATGCCATCATGAACATTGATGTACAAATATCTAAGTCTCTGCTTGCATTTAATTTGTGTTTTATTTTTATATGAAATTACCAATGTCATTGACTATCGTATTACCATGCTCTTTATAGAAGGGCTTTTCCAGACAGGTTGCCAATACCATTACGGTACAATGCCACTTATCCTAACATATTAAATGAAAGTCTACCATTTCCATTTCACAGATGGGTAAGTTAAGTTAAGCTGCTTAAGAGTAGAAAAGAATGTTGTCATTTTAGCAATTTGCTTTAACTGTGTCATGAGTTAATACTATTAGAAACATGGGTCTTTCCAACTTATTTGTTATAATAACTGAACACTTTTGAAGTTTTATTTTATTTTTGATTGACAAATGATTATATTTACAAGGTGTTTATTTATAATGTCATGTTTCAATATAATAGGGCGATTCAGTCATTGTAGAATGATTGAATCAGGCTAATTAGCATATCATCACCTTCAATACTTATCATTTCTTTGTGGTGAGAACAGTTAAAATCCACTCTTTTATCTATTTTGGAATATACATTATTAACTATATCCACCATGCAGTGCAGCAGATCAGCAGCAGCTCTTCCTCCTGTCTGACTAAAACCTGTGTCCTTTGACCAACACCCCCCCCCCCCCCCCCCCCCGCCACATTCTCCCTCTACTGCCCCTAGCCCCTGGTAACCGTCATTCCACTCTCTACTTCTATGAATTAACTGAACTCTTGATAATATATTTAAACCTGTCTTTTCAACAGCTACAATTCCTGTCGTGTTTTGACCCTTAAGCTTTTCCTATCCTATCTTATTTCAGGGGCAGTGTGAACCAAGATTGAACTTCGCTTTCATGTAATGCATGTACTAAAGAGTATAAAATTTATAGCTAATACTCATGCTGTGACCATTGACACTATATTAGGGCTCCACACATAGTATGCCTTGAAGTCTGACTATAGCACTGAAAGGCTCTTTGCTCCCAAGGGCCCCTTGTAACATCTTTATTGGACTCACTTAGGGGTGACTTTATAGTGATGGCTAAAGCATAAGACTGATCATCTTTTAGAGGAGTCAATTTAACCTCTGGTTTATCTAAATGTGCTGGGTAGGAGAGCCTGGTATTCTCTTTGAGGATTGTGCAATATAGAGTCTTGGAGTGGTATCCTAGTCACAATGGTGCGACTAATTAGCCATGTAACCTTAATCACGTAATGGTATTCTGGACCTGTTCCCTCACCTATAAAAGAAAGGTTAGGTGAGTTCTAAGCTCTATGAGTATATGATGGATTTTGTTTCTCAGAGTGAGCTAATTTGATAAAGCACCATTGTAGGAAAGACAAAGTTAATGAAAATCTCAAATTGGTACTTAACTGTGTTCTTATAATTATTTTTCTAATAATCCCACATGCTTGGGATGCTGCCATATACCCACCCATTCAGTAGCATAGCCCTTGGTGGTTATATGGCTATAAACATTATAAATAGAGTGAAATATGAAAAGGTTATTTCTCATTCAGCTCCACACAGGAAAAGGAGAGTTGAAAGTCCAGGGAGAAGCACATAGAGATAAAAGGAGGTCAGGGCATACCTATATTTGCCCACCTTCTAGACATTTCCCAGTAACTGTGGTGGTATCCCTGCCCCTGTTGCCCTCATCTGTCATATTTTATGTGTTTATGTGACTCAGTCCTTTGGCAGGCATTATCAGAGTACAAAATTGATACTTTCTCTTCCTATTTAATGCAGAGCATTAGCTTCTACCAGTCTGGGTAATTTGGATTTTTGAGTATTTGATGTCTACTCAGCTCATTTTAAGGATTTCTTATTAAGCCTTCGTGTTGAAGGGTTACTGAATGGCAAAGGCTGCGAAGTCAGCTATTTCTAAATAAAGTTGTAAACATAATAGCAGTGGGGGAATGGGAGGCAAAGCACCGCAGGATTTTGTGACTCGGCATCACTTACTCTCTCAAGGACAGTAAATAGGAAACCGGAGAACAAGTTTCCTTTTTGGTAAGATTTATGATCGTGGTGATATGTAGGCAAGGGGTGGCCTTGCAGTTTTTGTCCCTCTCACACGACTTCTCCCCTTGATCTAGGTCTGTCATTTCAGGCAGAAATAGAGGCAGAGAGAATTTGTGGAGGTGTAAGAGAGAACATAACCTGAGTGAGGTGCACTTGTCAGGCCTTTTGGCTCAGGCAATAGAAAGCTGCCTTTGTGGAGCTGGATTTAAAGTGTTAATTCTTTGTTCTCCCCCCTGGAAGAGTCAGGCAGAAACTGAAAGTATTCCTACTGTCCCAGGAAAAGAGATGGCTGACCTACCTTTTGGGAAGGGATTAAGCGACATGCTTATATAGAGAGAGTCCATTCCAGGGGTCCTCAAAACTTTTTAAACAGGGGGCCAGTTCACTGTCCCTCAGACCATTGGAGGGCGGTTGGAGAGTGCAGCACCCATTCCACACATGCGCACTGTGGGCCCAGGATGAGTCGGCTGCTAAGCAGGACAGGCAGGGGCAGCAAAAACACCCAGTGGGTTGCATGTGGTCCGAGGGCCGTAGTTTGAGGACCCCTGGTCCATTCTGTCTCTAACTCCTTGCTAGTGTCTGCAAAGGGCTGCTGTGATTTCTCTTGGGCAGGAATGCCTCTTCCTGAATGTGGTAAGAAAGAATGACAGATGAGCCAGCTTTGGGGCACGCTTGGGATTGCTGGCTTCTTGCTCTTGTAAATCTCAAAAAATTTTCATATCGAAAAGGTAACTCTTCTAAGAATGTTGATCAGATTCTTCCTAAAGCTTGGCTGTTTGGTAGTGTTAGGAATCCACAGGGCAGAAAGAAGTTTGATGAACCCCACCAAAAGAGGCAGATGTCAAAGGGGACTGTAAAGGAACTTGCGCCTGTTTCAGTGCCAGTAGAAGGAACACAATGTGATCTTGCCCTTATCACATGGGAGATGTGTCTAAAACTGATCCAGTAGAAAGAGATAGGGAACAAGAAGAAAAGGAGGTGTTGGCAAAATGTTAAAAACAACGATACAACACTTCAGTCTTTCAGGATTGTTCTAGAAAGAAATGTGTTATAAATTTGAAGGATCTGCCTTTGGCAAAAAGATTCTGAGTGACTAAGAAACCTTCTAAGATGTAACTCTTCCCCTGACCATGTGCTCCTACTGCTTTCTCATTTCTCCCTCTTCATCTACCCCTCGCTCCCATTATGG